CTCCCCGCTTATGCAAATGAAGCCCAGGAAATTCAAATCCCGGGCTTCATTTGCAAGTGCGGTATGCCTACATTACCCTCCTAGTTTGAACTAGCGGGGTAGTGTAGACATACCCAGGGCTAGTAGAGGAGTCCAGGTGGCAGCAGTTCAAATTAGGGAGGCTTTGAGGAAGCACTTTGACAATGAGCCACAGTTATGTATATCTGTGTTAGATGTGCTTCAAAGGTACATTCCATCTTGTTTTCCTAGAAGGGTATAGTGACATTTGGAGCTGCAAATCCCAGTAAGAAAATGATTAAAATGTCCATGCATGTGTTGGTAGTACTTGCAGTCTGAATTTGTAGAAAACAAAATAAAGATGATTTACTGTTATAAAGCTTTGATTTTATTGAACAAGAAACAGCACAGTGAAACTCACACTATAGAAATGCTTGCTGGGAAAGGAGCAACGGGGCAGGGGCAGATACTCCCAACTGTGTGTAGGTATAGCTATCATTGTGAAAGTTGTCCAAGAGGGTAGCGTGAAGGGAAAGCCAAAGAGCCCCAAAGGAATGTGTGGGTGGAGTGGGTGTAATGGGGTATGGTAAAGAATTATGAATGTATCATATTGGAGGTTGTCAGGAGCTGCTCAGACTGCAGCATTATTGAAGACTTGAGCAGGTCTGTTTACTCCTCTGTTTCTTTAATCATCTGCTTAGTTGTGTCCCTAGCAAACATGTCATTATCTTTTCTGTCCTGTCTTTTGGCTTCCCAGCAATCCTTGTGTTCCCTTTTCTCTGCAGTGGAGCACTGCAGTACCTCCCGAATCATGTCTTCTTTGCTACGTCTTGGGCACTTTGTAATCTAGTGGAGAGGGTCTGCAGGGGTCATGAGATGTTCCTGAAGGACATGTCTGCTGCAGCAGAAGGCGTCAGTGCACAGAAGTGGGGTTGTAAAATTCAAGCACAGCATTGAAACATTTCAGTTATATGCCCCTTTTGGAACACAGCAGTCATTTCCTCATTGACCCTTGCCAGGCACACTTCTCTGCAAACACCTAAACTATGGTGAGTGTTGGTGAGGTAGCAGGAGGAGGCAGAATTGCACATGGATAAAAGAACATTTAGTTTGCCAGGGATGTGATGCAGTGTCCTAGAGAACTCATTCTAAAATTATCCCACACTTTTCCACAGGCAGTGATCATTCTATCAGATGCTTCACTGCTGAGGGTATTCAGGAACTACTACAATGCTTGTGGCTTCTACCTTGCTCTCAGGGCTGTCTTTAGGCATACACAGAGTATGGCGCTGCATAAGTTACCCAGGAATTAGAGCCAGCTCCCACCCTTCACCCATGTGTTTTTATCGGCCAGCTGACTGCTGCACTAATTGAGGCACCTCCTTTTTGACAGACTGGAGATGGAGAGGAGTCCTCTGCCCAGCACCGGAGCATTGGTTTGCCTTCCTCGCCTTGTGGTATTCCTGTGTCAACACCTTTCTCTTAGCTCTGCACTGCAGTGTGACCCGATCACAGCCCTTTTCACACAAGCCTTGAGAAATGTGCCCATAGGTATCCCACTTCCTACAAGTCACATGCCACTGGAACTGTACAGTGTCCTCTCCTAAAACACTGAGCAGCTCCAGCACATTCACAGTGATCCAAGCAGAAGATGGTTTGGTGCATGGGGCTGCTATGGTCTTCTTGGAAGATGCCATGAGACCTTGGCAGGCCGAGCCAGCAGGAAATTGCATTTAAAATTCCCAGGGCTTGCAAATGGGAAGGCATGGATGGTTGTTTATCTGGCTGCAGGACAGTGCAATTGAAACTGCTTACCACAGCGGTCAGGATGGGCATTATGGGTCACATTGTGGAGTTCAAATAAAGTGATTAAAGCAGGTATAGTGTCTACACTGGCTCTTTGTTGATACAAATGTATAGGAAAAAACAAAAGTTTCTCCTAGGAGTGGAAGTATTTAGTTGCCAAAAACTGGCATTTTTTCTGACAAAAATGGCATCACAGTATGGTTAAGCAGTTTTTGGCAACAAAACTTTGTAGTGTAATCAATGCCTCAGTTTCCTAGAACTGAAAAAGAGCTCTTTGTGTTTACATGAGAATGGCCATACTAGGTCAGACCAAAGGTCCATCTAGCCCAGTATCCTGTCTGCTGACATTGCCAATGCCAGATGCCCCAGTGGGAGTGAACACCACAGGGAATTATCAAGTAATCCCTCTCTTGTCATCCATTCCTAGCCTCTAATAGACAGAGGCTAGGGACACCATTCCTACCAATCCTGGCTAATAGCTATTGATGGACCTAACCTTTATGAATCTATCTAGTTCTTTTTATAACCCTGTTAAAGTCCTAAAGTCCTGGTCTTCACAACATCCTTTGGCAAGAAGTTCCACAGGTTGACTGTGCACTGTGTGAAGAAAACCTGCTACCTATCAATTTCATTTGTTGACCCCTAGTTCTTCTGGGAAAGCTTGACTCTCTCACCAACAGAAATTGGCCACCTTGTCACTCTACATCACTGTGCGGCATAAGGTGTAATTCAGTTTATCAGCATCCTTTATCTACAGCCAGTTTGCACAGAACAGATACAGATACATTGGTTGTATGAAGGAAACAGATGGTGGATTACTTCGATCAACTGCCACAGTTCTTCAAAACCAACCATACAACAACACAGCCTGTGCACACAAGAACCTCAAACGCATTGCCCTACACCAAAGCACACTTCCTCATTTACCAACCGCACAAATCAGCACAACTCTCCCAACATGACATCACCCTCCGCACCCATATTCTGTACCACAATGACCTGAAGCCTCACTCTGGAGCCTAGAATGTCTGTTGATTCAGCATGAAGTGATTGAAACAGCCACAGACATGGCTGAGAGTTCTTTTGTTTAGAGCATCACCAGGTTTAATCATCACTGAGATTCTCAATCAGTTCAATTTTTAAAGTTCTCAGTCATTTTCAGCTTTATTTACACACATGATTTTTATTAATTATTGCTCTGTGACAGCTGGTCTATAAGCTATTAGTATAATATACCCTTTGCAGTATAATGTCACTGCAGAAACCTGGTCCTGTTTTGTTTCATTCACACAGCACTAGTACTTTCACTTCTCCTCCCCCTCCCCCTCCCATTATTTAGCATATTACTCTCTGATTGAACAGAAATGTACTTTATCTGGCAGTGTCCAATAGCTCAGGAATGGGAGGAATGAAAACAAGCACATGGGGCTTTTTGTAGTAACTTGTCACAACAAATGCTGATAAGACATTGAGAAGTGTTTACTGGGCTGGCATAGGAAAACCGGAAATGACAGAGCAGAGTTTATAGGAACGATAAGGTAGTGAGTCTGAAATCACACATGCCACCTAAATGATGTTAAAGTCTGTGGTTTTGTAATCTGAAAACAAACCCGGATGCCATTTCTCTGCCGGATATGAGTAATCCAGAAGCACACAACTCTCACTGCAACTCCCCTCAGTGCCTATTCCCCTTTTTGGTGGGCAGAGTTTCTTTGACTCGTGCTGGGAACTGGAATTTGCTCTTGAGGCTTGAGCAATTTTAATGAAACTCACTTAAATTAATTGGTTTAATTAAACTCTAATTTCTCCACATTTTTCTTGAAGTGTGGTGCCCAGAACTAGACACAATACTTGAGGCCTAATCAGCAGAGAGTAGAGCGGAAGAATGACTTCTCTTGTCTTGCTCACAACACTCCTGTTAATGCATCCCAGAATCATGTTTGCTTTTTTTTTTCCCAACAGTGTCACACTGTTGATTCATATTTAGCTTGTGGTCCACTATGAAGTTACAGTGGGGAAGGTCTAGGTTGAATATTAGGAAAAACTATTTCCCTAGGAGGGTGGTGAAGCACTGGGATGGGTTCCCTAGGGAGGTGGTGGAATCTCCATCCCTGGAAGTTTTTAAGTCTCAGTTTGACAAAGCCCTGGCTGGGATGATTTAGTTGGGGTTGGTCCTGCTTTGGGCTAGAGGCTGGATTCAATGACCTCCTGAGGTCTCTTCCAGCCCTATGATTCTATGACCCCTAGATCCCTTTCTGCAGTACTCCTTCCTAGACAATTGTT